GGAAGGTGTCCCTGCCCATGGCAGGGGGGTTGGGACTAGGGGATCTTTAAGGTCCCTTCCAACCCAAACCATGCTATGGTTCTAAGAGTTCGTGAGTAGTAAATGTTCTAGGAGTGTTAAAGGCACCAGTAAAAGGAATTGTAGATGTTCTGTAATCATCTGAATAGACTGTGGTATAGCTTATGAGCAACCTGTTAAGTTCCTTAATCAGTTAATTAATCATGCAGTACATTTATTTTCATAGCCTGTTATGAACTATTTATAATACCAGTCTTCGAGTGTGTATGGTCATCGAGGTTCCTCAAGAATGAAGAGACTAATGTGACAAAGTCGTAACTGTCAAAGACAGAGATTGCTCAACATAATTGGATAAGAGTATCTGCTTATTCAGACCACCCCCTCTAAAGCAAAAGGCCAATAGGCTGCTCTATTCTAAGAATTAGAGCTCCTCCCGAGTTTTGAGTTTCAGGCTCAAGAATTTGAGTTCCATTATTTTAAAAGTAATCTCACAGAAAATACATGTTGTTCCTGAATCTTCTGTACATGCAAATCCATGTCTCAGTCTTCTAGTTCCTGCTGCAAATGCATTTGCATGTGTCTGTCCAAATCAGTCTCCTAGTTACACTAGGGATACTTATGGATATCACAGAGCTGATAGTAACAGAGTACTTGGCTGCTCAAGTTTAAATTAGAAGTGAAATTGAATCTGGAGTCTGGAACTCCATAAATAAAAATAATACTACTTTCCTGAATATAATTGGAAAGAGAACTTAGGTCTGGGAAAACAGGGTGTATTTTAGTAAAAGAGTGCCACTACCGAATAAGTGACTTCAAGTATATATGTGCATGGTTTAGGTGGCAGCAGTGTCAGAGGTACCATTCAGACTTTCACAATCAAAACCAGTTGTCTTTGTCAAAAGCAGAGTTCACAGTCTACTTATAACAATTGTAATTTTGAAAGATGTAAAACTACCTAAATAAATCCTTTTCACATTTTTCAGGAAATATTATGCTGTGGGTCCAAGGCTGTGTGGCTACAGAAGCTACCCGTTGGTGCAGGCTCTGAGTTTTTGTTGAAGTTTTAGAAATCTCTGAGGTTGTGAACAATGTTTCATGCATCTGAACAGTGAGAGGGGATAAAACACAACTAACAAGTTTTTGTACTTAATCTACTTAATGCTATGACCCAGAGGATAACAAACTGAAGAGAAGCTTTATTCTGGTTACCTCCATTAATAGGTCTTTTCTTCTATGGAGATAAGTATCTATTTTCTCTGATTACTTCTGTATTAAAGATTACTGACTCATGCTATTAAGATTATTTTAGGCCAGGGTTGCCATTCCTCAGGGACTGGCTGGGCATTAATTGGCTGGTGTTAAGCATTTGGGAGGGTTTTTTGCATCACTTGGTTTTGTTTTCAGATTTTGGGTGTTGTTTGGGTTTTTTTACCTACTAAGTTGTCTTTATCTCAACCCATAAGTTTTCTAACTTTTGCTCTTCTGCTTACCCACCCTGCTGGATGGGAATGAGTGACTGTGTGGGGCTGAGCTGCCTACCTGGGCTAAACTTAGAGCAGCAAGTTTTCATCTGTAGCCCATACCAGCCAAAACAGAGTCACTACTGGCTTTGCAGTGGTAATATTATATAATGCATGGGACCATGTGGTTTTAAACTTCCTTGACCTACAAAGTAGCACGTTATTGGACAGCAAAGGTTAGTCTAGCTATCCAAACGTATTTTTGTTCTTCAGTATTGTAATTCAGTCAGAAGATCTGTTCCAACCATGAACAAACTAGCAAACAGGAACACATGCATAAATTAATTTGAAATGAAAACAAACTACTCACTAATCAACAAAAAACTCTGCTTCACATTAGCTGGTGTTTTCAAAAAGTTGTATTATGTCTCTTTTTATTTTATGCCTCAACGGGGAAGCACAATTTAGTGGTGTTTTGACTTGGTTTGGTGTTTTGGTAACAATCAGAGAAAATGCTCAAAATGTCTGTGTGTTTAAGAATTTATGATCTTGTCTAAAAAGAAATACTATACATAATTTTGTGGTCTTGATATATAGTTTACATTTTACTTGCAGACTTCAATTTTTGAAACTGGTTTCAAAAGTAATCTGGGTTGTAATCTACTGAAAGGGTGAGAGCAGTATTCTCAAAAAGGAATTATGTAGATCGTAATTGCAGGCAGCACAGAGGTCACATGAGAAGTATTGGGAGCTTCGTCCAGCTTTGTTCAGGGATTGGCAAAACAAAGTTCTGAAGTGATATAGCAGTGAAGGTGTGTTTTAGTAGAGCTTAAAATCAGGTTTTACTAACACAACAGTAACAACTCTTAGTCATTATTGACTTGCATTGTGTTTGTAGCAGTGACCTAGAGGTGAAAGGCTCCACATCTCATTTCCAACCCTCTGAGCCATGTAGTCGTCCATAATTTAATTTGATGCAAAGCAATTATCGGCCAATTGATTTTCATTGATTGTGCTGTAGGACAGAAACATTCCTGTTGCAGCAGAGAACAACTACTTATGGGACAGCCTTCCACTCATCTTCAGAGTAACCAGAGAAATGTTTAAAGCTAGCTAACTGTAGCTCTTAACGACTTTAGGCATCAGTAAATAGTATGTTTCTTGCTTAACTTTTTGTGTCAGCATATTCTCTCTGATCTTTCTTAAGCAGTGCTTTGTCTTTTTGTTGTCCCTTACTTTTGCTTTCTTTTGGTTTGTTTTACTTGCTTGTTCCTTTCCCTGCTCCTCTGCCTTATTTCTTGAATGTTTTCTAGTATGTTTTTCGTCCTTCCCCATCTCAGTATTTTCAATTGACAGATGAGTTTTCAGCGTTCCTCTTATATTTTGTCTCTCATTATTTTCTGCCATGTTTGATGACCTTGTATTGCTTTTCTCCCTGGATCCCCATTCTTTAGACTTTTATCTTACGATTGTCTGCTTCTTCTGTAGGGATTTACTTCTCTGCTTCAGCAGTTCTTGTCTCAGCTTGTACTAACAGTTTCAACTCCTGTGTATACCTGAGTTGCATCTGTAGAGTTCTCTTTAGAAAGGTACAACTCTGAGTGTACCATTTGACCCAGGTATGCAGATACTTCATCTAGCAAGCATTGAATTGAGAGTTATTCAGATAGTTTTAAATACAAAAGACTTTAATTTATAGCACAGTTGACTGTCTTTTCTGACTGACTTATTCAGAACAAGAATATATGCCTCAGGTTTTAGTGCTGGGATATAATTTCTGATAGTCTCAATATTATGTATGGAAAGTAATGTAGCATAGATTTAAGAGTTTTAAGAAAAGGGGGAAAAAGATTTTAAGTGTGATCTGTTCTGAACAGTCAGAACTACATTTGTAAAATACTAATTTAGTTTTGTGGTTATTGTAAAAACCAGTTTATCTTTTTGGAGTGTATTCACTATGCATTGATAGATGACTTTCATTCCAGATCTTTTTAACATGAATTCTTATATACTTGTATTATTCTACTTGGAAGTAGTTTAATTGATTAGGGCCAAAAAAGCACCCTGAAAATGAATCATAACTAATCATAAAATTACAACAAAATATTGAAAAGGTTTTTATATGAGGACTTCCATTAAAAGGTTTATTCTGGGTAATTGTCTTGGTCTATAGCTCTTTGACAACACCGTCAGTGAAAGTGTTTACTTTTACTGTTGCATTCCGATAGAGGCAAAATTCAGGTCATTGGTATCAGTATGGGCAGTAGAAGACTGATGGGCTGCTTGTGGGAATTGATAAACGTTTTGGAAGAGCTTTGGGAAATCTTTACACTGAAACAGTATTTGCTGATGCAGTGTCTTAGGAGGCTTCTGCTTAGAACACATTCCCCTGTTGATCTTCGTAGATTGTTTAATTCCTTGCAATTCAAGGCAGATTAACCATGGCTAAAATGTGCTCTAAGATGATACTGGCCAAATCATGTCATAGGGCTGGCAAAGTTTCATTCCTCCATCATATTTTTGGCAAACAAATGTTTGAACTTTATTGTAGTTGTCCTCTTAAATGTGATATTAAGACTTTTTCAGTCTTTTTTAATGATTCTAGCACATTATAATCATCTCCAAAAATACTATCTGTTGCTCGTTTTGTCATTATATTTACAAATTGAAATAATTCATATGATAAAAATGCAAAAATTACATTGTGTAATGGAAACTCACAATACTCTGTTATAATAGTTGTTTTCTTTGATAAATTTTTCTATGTATTAATAAAAGCTACTTAAAATCCTTTTAGAGCAATTTGGTGAAATGTTCTCTAATTTGCAGAATTTTGGTGTTAGAGTGGAGAGGAAATGACCACTAAGGGAGTTTAATGTTTGTTGACATGCGGAATTGAACACTGCATTATAATAGAGATTTCCATCCTCCGTTTCAGTATATGTGTGCTAAAAAACAGCGCTAGCACCTTTATCTGTTCTTGTTTTTCTTAACAAATGTTCTACTCTAGGGTAACATGGTGTTAAACAGGATAATTTTGTTGCTCTGTTCCAGACATACTTTTTTTTCCTTTTCACTATTAATTTATTGTCTGTCTCTGCCACTACTTTAAGGTTGAAAACCAAAGCAACTTTTTTTTTTCCTTTTTAATTTCACTTCTGAAAGAACAGATAAAAGTATTTCAGGTTTGAAAGTTAAAACACTTACTGAAGAGTCTTTTGACATACCCCATCATAATTGGGGTTTGGGTTTGCTGTTTTAGATTTGTAATTGCCTTGTTCAACTAAGGAGGGTAGGTATGGATTAGCTTTTGCTAGTCTTTTGGATAGAAAATGTTTTTAAGCATATTTTGCATGGGATCAAGAGCCAAGGGGTTTATAAATTTTTCACTTGTATTCTCAAAAATAATGGCAGAGCTTGCTTAATAACTTGCTTTATTTTACAATTATTAATATATATGAAATTGTCTATAAGCATAAGGAATAAGACATACCTGTGACTTACCTCCTTGGCAATATAATAATGCAAATGATAATTAGTGATACTGGGTGGGTTCATGGTTTTGTTTTCTGGTTTTGTTTTTTTTTAAGATTCAGTTGCCAATCTTGAAAGGAGAATAATAAAGGCACTCAGGACAGATTTTTCCGTGAAGTATCTGTTTCATACAGTCATGGGATAATTCAGATTGGAAGGGACCTCAAAAGGCCATCTAGTCCAAACTTCTGGTGAAAATACAGTCAGTTGATTCAGACAAGATTGCTCCAGGTCTTGAGTCCAGTCAGGTCTTGATAATCTTCAAGAATGGAGCTTTCAAGACCTCTTCGCTAACCTTTTCCAAGGCTTGTTTCTTCCCTTTTAATAAGGAATACTTGAAAAGAGAAAGGGTTGGATATTAAGACAAACATTTCTGTGTTCTTAATCCACCCAGAAGGTTTGATTCTTGCATCTAAGCATTTATGATCTGACTGAGAGTGATGGCATAGGCCATGTATGTAATGTCTTGATAAAATAATTATTTTGAGGATGTATAATAACACCAGTCTGAATTTGCTAGTGTTTTGTCTCTAGTTCAGTTTGATAGTATCTTCAGATGTCAGTGATCACTTTGAGGGTATTCTTCCCTCTAGTCTCCCTTTTTTAGTCTCTTAATTCACAATAGTTATGTTGTTAGTTCTGCCCTTTGACCCTTTCTAAGAGTTTTGTGTTTTCAGGACAGACTGCAGCTGGACATCATTTTGGAAGGATGTAAAAACAAGGCAGATACTCAGTGGTACATTACTTCTCAGTCTTACCCTGCAGTTTAGGATTTTCTGAGCCAGAGTTTGAAGCTGCACTTTTATTTACTTGGTATTGATAGAAGAGTTTTCCTTGTACTTAGCTATTTACCTTTTGAACTTATGTATAGATAAGGAAAGAGCTGATTGATTGGGGGATACTATGGTCATCAGAAACATGAGGGGGAGACTGTTCTGTGTAACTAGTGGCAACAGGACATAATTAAGGAAAGCTAGATGTAAGGAGAAAAAAGTTAAAGCTTGACATCAAGGAGAAAGAAAAAAGGCAATGAAATTATGGAGAGATTTTAGGTAGGTGTGTAGAAACTTGAAATGAAAATATTAAAGTCAGAAACTATTAATGTTTACCAATTTAACAGTTTATTCCCAGGAAAATGAATGTTGGGTGTGAATGATGGAGGATGTAACATCCCGTAGCTCATGCTTCTGAGCTTCATACTGAAACCTTGGGAAATTGGGCCATATTATACGTATCAATCGAGAGTAATGCATAGGTAGTACAATATTTGAGTTTTAGTTTCATTTCTGATCAGCAGCACATCCAGCAAGTTAAAGTTACTTTTCTGCTATTTGAGTGTAGATATCCTTAGTCATTTTTCTGTGAAGCAGGAGTGTGTAATATGGGGAAAAAAGCTAAAGTCAGGCTATGCTATACAAAATACGCAACATCAGTTCCCTTTAAGTTCATGGCTTCGGAGAGTGTCCAGCAACTCAGAGCTGTACTTCAGCACATTACAAAACTGAAATCATATTCCTCATAGTTCATATTAGAGTTGTTTGGGTTTTTTGTTTTGGGTTTAAGTGTGGTATTCAGTAAAGAAGGATTGTTTGCCTGCTCAGTGATTACAGCAGAGCATAAGAAAAGATGCAGTATTTGCCACCCAACCTGTACTTACTACTGTGCTCTTGTAAGTAGAACAAGGAATTACAGCCACCTCAGTTAACACAACACATAGTTTTAAAATTATATCAATAGTTGACAAAGCCTGCTATTTAAAAAAAAAATAAAATTAAAACACCAGAGTAAGAGAGCATGTTACAGGATCAAGTATTTTGCCTCACATATTATTTTCCTAGTTTATTATCATCTAGAGGCTTATATCTAGTGAATCTTTAGGATACTTCCATTAGGTTAGGGCCTTGAAATGCTATACTAGGAGTCCTAAGCAGTAGTGTGCACTGAAGAACTTAATTTAAAATCATTTGGGGGCAGAATGACAGATCAATGGCAAGATCTGTTAAGTATGTAGGAGAGAAATCAATTTATAACAGATAAGTCACTACTTGTTAATGGATTAATTAAATAGTGTAGCGTAATCCTTTAAATGATTTCTGGAATGTGATGCATTAATTGACAGTACTGTGATGTTCTTTGAGTTATTGTTCCTTTTTTTCCTATGTATTTGAAATAGAAAACTGCTTCATACATGAGGAGAATTCAGTTTTATTGATAGTTTGTTGGTCAATGAATTTCAAGTTACGATGATCACAAGCATTAAACAGTAGATCATAAAAATGAAATTCCAACATTGTTGGCATTTTATAAGTTTTTAGTTTTAGACATCATTCAACATCAATTCATAGTCATCATTGCACACATAGTTAAAAGTCTGTTATCTTAATATATTAATATATTTCATGCTAAATAATATATCTGTGGTCTTTTTGCAGTGTTATACCACTTAGACATAATCATGTCCTCACGTGACTAGATCTGTATCACAGTTTGTATACACACATACCTAAGGATCGGAATAAGTAAAAAGAACGGTTATTAGTTTGGATATAACTAGTACAATCATGAAAAGAAATAATAGGGCATTTAGGATAGTGGAGACTTTTTAAATTAAAAACAAACAAACAAAAAAAACCCAAACAACCAAACCATAAAACATAAAGAGAGTTTTTTAGATGACAAATGTATTTCAACAATAAATAGAAAATTCAGTGTTACAGAAAGTAGTGTTTTAAAAAGGAATGATCAGTACTTTGCTATTAGTAATTTATATACATGTCTTATTCAAGGCAATGTTAAAGATGATCATCTTGAGTTCTGAAGACTTCAAAACAAAAATTTGATTTAGATCTCAACATAGGTTGAACACCCTACTACAAATCAAATTAATCAGTCCATTCTACAAGATTGTTTTCAAAATATTTCTAATTAATTTTATCACATTTTCATTGGTTTGTATGATAGAAGTAATTCACATAATTATATCAAAGAAGTGGTTGTCTGTTAATAATTTTTTATTTTTCATTCTGGTGCCAAATATACATTTTGGAGGAATATGTGCATAAAAACATTAATGTGGTGTATATTTGTATAGTATATGTTAGGAGTAAATGACTAAAATTAATAAAATAGTAGTGGTGTAAAATAGTGGGATTCAAGTTCACTCCATGAAAGTATAGCTAGCTTTAAACATATTTTCATCACTGTATTTTACTATATATTTATTAACCTTTACAAAATTAAAATGTGTTTTAAGTGCTCTTATTTGCATATTTGCTCTATAATAATATATTGCCATTAGGGATCTTACATAAATAGACATATTCAGAAACTATAATTTCCCTGCAAGTTCAGTTTTGTCACTGAACACTAGGCAGACAATGAAATTATTACTGTGGTTAACATTTGCTTTTATTCAATTAATGAATAATTACGAGAGAGCTTACTTTCCTTAAGTGCAGTTATCTCCTCGTGTTTTTAGTGGCTTGCAGTTCATTATGTTTCTAAATGAATAATAATAAAAGCCAAGGAATAAATGCCATTTGGGATTACAGTTGATGATGACCCCCAGTCTGGCTCATAATTTCCAATATTTCTGTCTTGTGGTTCTAAAGATTTTCAAAGTAATTGAATCTTTCCTTTTTGTGACTGAACTCCAAAGGGGCTTTTTCAATTCCCCTGTTTTATATTATAACCATAAAATTAAATTTTTTATCCCAGGGCCTCTATGTTAGTAAAATTTCTTTAGACACAAATTAAATATGAAAGCCTTCTAACTGGGGAAAAAAGAGATTTAGATTCACTTTAATAATTGGGTTTGAGAAAACACAGCTCTTATAAAACTGGCAAGGAAATTTGTGGGCTTGCAATTAAAATAAACCAAACCCTAACTAAAACTGCTACAGCTTAAGCTACAGGAAGCATTGTTGAGAGTACTCTGTATGCTTGATTTCTTCAATTGAGATCTCCTGTAAAGATCATAAAAGTTTTGTAGGAATATCCCGCTGATTTGCTCTTCAAGACTAGTAAGATGGCTTTTTTTAACCTCAAAGTCAACTCAGTTCTAAATTGAAAATTCTAATGGTCTAATGCTGTCTGTCAGAAGTGGGAAAGGAGACCACATTTCATGAGTTTCTCAGTGAGTACTCCAAATTCAGGTACCTTGTGTAACTGCGCAGCACTGCGATAATACCGGCTCAGCACAACTCAAGGTGAGGATTCATTTGATGGAACCAAATTTAATTCGCTGGTGCTGGAGAACAATGAAGGAATATTTGACAGAAAAAAGAAACTTTTTTTTTTTTGCTGTCATAAGCTTAAAGGTGTTCTTGATGGGCATTTGACAGAAAAAGACTTCTAAAACCTTGATATCTGCGTATTTATAAGAAAACAATATACAAATAAGTCCTTAATTTGATAGAAATCAGTTTACTGACAGAATTATGACAGAACAAGTTAGACCTTAAGACTTTTCTTTAGCTGGATTGTCTAAACCAGTGGATTTGGTTTTTTGTTTGGTGGATTTGTTTGGGGTTCTTTGTTGTTTCTAATTGTGACTGGAGATGTAATTTTTCAAATCCAAGACCCATTTTTCTGCATTGTTGTGACCTAGTGACAAAACTATCTAACAAGGTGTGCTGGTTTAGGCCCTGTCGGGACCGGAGACCATGTTGCTATTGTCCCTCCCCTGCCCTTCGACCAAGTCGGGCACAAACCCCGGGGTTGAAATAAGGAGAAATTTAATACAACAGTGTAATAAATAACAATCTGAACAACAATAGCAATAATAACATAAGCAGTAATAACAATAAACAAGACAAAAGATATACAGAGAAATACCGCAGTGAACACAGCCACCCTGCTGCGCATGCTTCCCATGACCAAAGCCACAAAGGAAAGCTTCCCGCACTCTGCCAGACCTGACATCACATGATATGAATAACCTGGCTGGAGATCCCTTCCCCCTCCTGGGGAGAAACTTAACACTATCCTAGGTGAACCAGGACACGAGGCCATGTGGGCTACCTAAAATCTGTTTGTTCAGCCTCTGGTGTTTATTTTAATTACCTGTTATGTAATAGCATGTTTAAACATTTTCAAGTAATTAGTTTGATTGTGGTGATGGATGACATACTGACATAATATGAATAACCAATGAAATAATAAACTCTCTAATTCTGGTTATATGTTTATAGCAATAGAGATTGTTGTTCATCTTTATCATCTTTTTATTTTTAAAAACTTATTATGGTGATCTGTTCGATAGAATTATCAGTACATTCATAAAAAGTATATTTTAAGTGTTAACTTAAAGTCTTAACTGCTAATTTTCTTTCACTCTTTGCTATACGTAGAAGACCTTAGATTGTATACATCTTATTTCACTTTGGATGTCCATAATTAAAGGCTTACTAATTGTCTAAACCTGGAGACACACTGGCATGAAAATTCTGTTGCACTAGATTCTGTGGTGTTAGTGTGAAGAAAGGAGGAAATGCATTTGTGTTGCTTGAAAATTTTAGTTTTTTAATAATAATCCGTAGATCCAGACTACTTAGGAAACAAATATTTTCCAGAATGGGGACATAAATTAATATAGGAAATTTCAGGTTTATTCATGTGGGGAAACTCCTGTGCTCTGTAAGGGGTGGGGAAAAAAAAAAAAGTGTTTTTTCATTGTGTTTTTTTGTTTTGGTGGTGCTTTATTTTTAGTGTGTGTGGGGTTTTGGGTGTTTTTTT